TATTATTTATGTTTGTTTATTTATTTATTAACAAAAACAGTTTCTTTTTTCTTCAGTTAAAGTTAAGAGAAGTATAGACTTTCTAATATATATTTTTTATATTTTAATGATTAAAATTATTCACTAATTATGATATTATCATTCTCATGAATTTCCCAATAATAGTAACAAAAAGCATATTATGTATAAGTAGTAGGTATATACATAATATGTAAACAAATATATTATAAACATAAAAAAATCCGACTGCATCTTAGCTAACTAAAAAAAGATGAAAAGAAGTTGACGAAGGAATACGACACTCGCGTCATCAAGGCGCATCTAAACGACGCAACGTATGGATCATCAAAATCGGTCTACGCATTTGGTCTTTAGAACGCCACATTGGAACAAACATACATACATACATGCATACATATATTTATACATACAAACTACTAATAAACTACTAATAAACACATTTCCCCTCCTTTGCGTTGCGCAGTTGGGTAAAAATCGAGGTATCTACGTGTCATAACTATGATAGGTAATTATTATTGTATATATTATTTAATGATTTAAAAAAAAGAAGTAAAAATTAATATTTTATTATCATTTAAAATATTTTACGTCGCACAGTGCATACAATCCGGTCTCTAGTGACGATTATATCCATAAAATTAATATACATTTTCCCGGAAGCATTGTTTACATTATTGCCTAGCTATTTATTTTTGTAGAAAAGTTTATTACATCAGAGTGCTAGTGACAAACAACGAATATTTGCTTCACTTCTCTCAATTTAGATACGGGGGAAAAAGTTTATCGGATGAGTGAATTGGACTTGTAGCTTTAATCTTTTGTGGCAGGTACTTAAATACTTAAATTTTAAAGTTTAAAGTCGAATAGATATACTATATATTATCTTAATATCCATACTAATATTATAAATGTGAAAGTGTGTTTGTTCATTTCTTTGTCTTTCTTTCACGTCGAAATGGTTTGGCGGTTTGGCGTGATTTTTTGTGGGGAGATAGTTGGAGGGCTGGAGAGTGACATAGGCTATGTTTTACCGCGGGAGATTATCTCTTTTCCACGGGAGAACATGTTATAATACAATCCAAAAAATATTTATGGTCAGAATTACTTGAAACTTTGCATAAATGCCCTTCAATACAATTAATTAAATACGTGTTTTAGCAATTTTTTTTAAATTCATCCCATGAAGGGGTAAAATAACAGATGAAAGTTTGTATGAATCCTACCATTTTAGAGTTTTTTTTTGTAGTTTTAGCGCGAGCGAAGCCGCGGGTTCTGCTAGTATAATATAATTCTTCTGTACATGTGGTTCTTAACCTACTCCTCCTAAAGGACTGGACCAATTTGGATGAAATTTTGTGTGTATATTACAATGGGCTCCTGGATGGTTTGAAAACACAAATGGACCCAGTAGGTGGCAATCGGTGTGTCACTTAATTTTTATAAAAGGCTCCATTTTCTGAGCAATAAATAAATTTAATCGTTGAGTAAATAAAATAATAATCAAATAAAATAATATGGACTCCCAAAACAGCTGGAGCGATTTTGATGAAATTTTCAGGTAATCTTCAGATTAGACCAGCGGGTTATCCTGTGAATTTTGTTAGCGCTGGGAAGTTTGGATGCGGGTGAAGCCGCGGGTACTGCTAGTAGTATATATATCCCATACTTATAGCCTTCCTCAATAAAACGTCTACCTATTTTCAAATCAGATTAGTAGTTCCTGAGATTAGTGCGTTCTAACAAACAAACTCTACCCTCTTTTTAATATTAGTATCCATTTAATATTAAAATATACGCAATATAATCTATACTTTAATATAAAATTGAAATATTCACCTGATTCCAAACATTAATTTTTGCGCAAGCATTAGATATAAGAACGTTTTTTTAATAATTCACCATCTAACATAGTTGAATAAGTAAAGATTTTTTTTCTTTTTTGAATTCGGTGTTAAAGCTGATTTCCCATGGGGCATAGAGCTAGTTTATTAATAAATATTGTTTTATCCGTAAACCACCGCACTCGATACTACAATTAGACGGCACGTACGTACTAATCCAACTCATTCGTATACATTTCATACTGTTACAATAAATTATATACTGGAATAAAACTTTCTGAAAGAAGTACAGATGCGTTATATGAAATGAAATTTGCAAATATTAAAAAAAGATTTGTATTTAGAGCAATTCAATCTTTCCTTAAAATAAAAACTAAAACTACCTATTTAATGTTTACACGCATGTAATTTTTTTTAATATTTATTATGACACTGAGAGCAAAATAAATCAATCCTTCTAGTTTTAGTTTTAAAATTATGACGAAAAATAATAAATTAATTGAAAATGGTTGCTTTATTTCTGATTGAATTATTAAATTTAATTTTTTTATAAAATCTAGTGACGATTGCTAAGTTGTTCACATTATGCATACAGTAAAATGGGTAAAAACAAGTCACGCAAGCATAGGTCAAGGATTAACTGGGTTATCGTAATAATCCTTAATTTTTTGACCGATTTTACAAAGTAATTAGCACCGTATAGTATCAATTGGGGTGAATGTTTTTTTGTTGTACGAGTTCTGCGATATCTTCGCTAATTGTAAACTTTGATTTTTTTGAACCTATATTTTTATAAATACATCAAGGATCTACATCTAATGGCTATCATGTAAATTCTAAAAACAAATTCTACCTAATAAACAAGAGTAACAACCTAAGGGCATGCTTATTATGAGATTAGTATTTGGTAACAAAAGCTATTTTAGCATGACTCGAGACTCGAAACTACTACCCACAATCTGTAACCATATATAGGGCCACTAGACAAATGAACCAGCAAAGTAAAATATAATATCTATATGCAGATATACAAATCCATACTAAACGGTCTCTTATTGTTCTTTAAATATTAATATTTTGAATATAAAAGTTCTTATAAATGTATGTGAACAACTAAAAATAATGTGCGGAACCTACAATATGGATTTTGATTTTTCTGGATAAGATTCATCACTTTAATAAACAATTAACGTACTCGTACATAATATGGGGTAATAATGACTCCCCTTGGGATAGCGGTTGAAACTTTATGGGTTAATTTCTTAGTTTGATAGTCTACGACATTGGTGTGTTTGCTAGTGTCTTATATTAATGTTAATTTACAGCATTTATATATTTTTTACTTATAAAATTAGTATCCTTTTTTGCTTTCTTTTGTGCAGACGAAGTCGCGAGATTTTGTCAGTTATTTAGTATATCATCACATATTTAATTGTTTTTATAACCGAATTATATCTTATAATACGTTTTTATATATATATATATATATATATATATATATATATATATATATATATATATATATATATATATATATATATATATATATATTAACATATAGTATATGTAATTAAAATTATATAATTTTCGTTTAAACTTATTCTGAATCAGTCAATATCATTTCGAAATTCAATTATCCGATATACCAAGTTTTTGTTTAAATTTAAAATATACTACAATATGCATAATATCAATACTAATATTATAAATGTGAAAGTTTGTGAGTATGTATGGATGTTCGTTACTCCTTCACGCTGAAGCGTTTGGATAGATTTGGATGTATATTGTATACAAATATAGTATGACCTGTAGTTAGGCGATGCACCCGAGCGAACCAAGCGGTAAAAGCTAGTTATACCATATTAATAAAGAGAAATTTCTTAAATTTTATATATCATTAAATTTTATTTGAATTAATATTAGGCAATAGTATTTGTATATATAATTTACAAAATTACTATTCTTTCTCTTTCAATTAACTATCAAGGCTGAAGCTTACAGTAAAATCCGATCGTAATGAGTACCCATTGTGTGTACCAAGTAATCTGACATGTTAAAAACAAAATAACAAGGTCGTTATGACGTGCGCTGTCATTACTTTTTACGACATCATTGTGAAACACTTGTTTGGTACTCGGCTGGTCAACCAGCGCAAATTGCCTCTTATCCCCATCAAGTTAGGATTCCATTAAAACGCTTGTATATATTCAGCCCTTTTTAACGTCCCACTGCTGGGCACGGGCCTCCCTTCTATATGAGGGGGATCAGGCCGTAGTCCACCACGCTGGCCAAGTGCGGGTTGGCGGACTTCACATGTCTTTTGAAAACTTGCTAAGTTCTCTCAGACATGCAAGTTTTCTCACGATGTTTTCCTTCACCGTTAAGACAAGTGGTAATCATGTTGGAAATGATTCGCACATGAAAATATCACAGGTGCGAGACCCGGGATTTGAACTCGCTTCACTCGGTTTCCCACGCAAGCGTGTTACCACTGGGCTACCACTGCCTTTTTTTTAACGCTTGTATGCAGCGAGATAAACAAAAACTTTTTATACTAACGAGGTATATGCTGTAATTTTCTGAACGATCACTTTTACAAAAAAAAAAAAGAAAAATGGAAAATTTCCTATAACTATAAAGTTGCTCATGCACTCTATTTTAAAACTGTTCCAATCTTTAACGTTATTTTTACCGGATTTATAAAATAATTCTGCTAATATTAAAATTTTCATACCACATGTGCTATCTCAGCAAATGTGAAGAAGCTCTGTATGAATAAAACTATTAATATATGCGAGAGAGTCTCCACTATGCTTCCTATGAGAAAGCACAGGGGATCGTTAAATATGCAAAATACGAGATAAATTACGTCTCTACAGATTCCTAGTAACACATGCCTCGGGCTTTAAACGTGGAAACAAAAGTATAAAAATTGAACTAGAATAAAATGTCCCTCAAATATACGAAAGTTAAATACATAAAATCTATGTATAGGTGCACATTAACAGCGATTACATATTGTTAGCAACTGGTATTGGAGAGCCATAAAAATCACAGGCAACCGGTTTACGACCCTCGGTCAAGAATAATGGCTATTGTTACGGGGCATAAAAAGCAAAGTGTTAATAAAATACTTACCTCATCGTAAATAAAATTGTCGATCTCTTCCAGAGGCCGTCCATACAGTTTCGGCGGGAAAGGCTCGTACTTCCTTGGGAGACGGGCACCATCTTCGACACTGAGGCGACGTCGGGGCATAAAACCGAACTCACGGACCAATTGAGCCCCACGCGATCCCGCACGCTTAGCCGACTCTCTTGTGAAGGGGGTGACCACCGCTCGAGGCTCATCAGCTTTCCCCACTGACTCTGAGAACGTGACATCGAGAGGTATCCGCAGTTCCTCCCGTCGAGGTTCTTCCTCCTTCTTATCGAGGGCATCTCGAGACTGCGACGCGACGAGAGGAGCCACAGCCTCGGGATTTGTAGCCTCAAGGGTTCGGATTATCTCTCCCAAAAGCCGAGAACCGTCTATTTCTTCTCCGGGCGAGTGCAGCGGCGCCGGCGGCGGAAACGACAGCCGCCTCTCGTCCTCCTCCATACCGCTACGTCAGGCCCATCGCCCCGGCCGTGCGCACTATTTGCGGACCGATGACGCCATCATACAATACTGCCACCTGGAAAGAAAAACATTTTCAGTATTATAAATCAAACGTGGCCATTTGAGTCATCCGCATTGGTTTGTTTACGATTTCTACGTCCGTTTTGTTTGGAAATTCGAAGAAGGCGGTCATTAATACGCCATTTTGTTTTTTCGATGGATGATTTATTTATGAATGTTAAGTGTCTTTGCAACGGTTTGTTATAAAAATATTGTAATAAATTATGTTTATATAATTTTCTAAGCCCCATTAGAAATCATAGAATTGAAATATATAAAGTAAAAACCAAAAATCTATCAATGTACCGATGAGCGTTGGCGAGAACAATACTAAATGAAAAGCAAAACAGCTAAAGCTAAATAAAAAGGAAATAAAAATACCCCGCAAAAGCCGATCTCTTGGAAATTCACTGAATCATGTCTATCTGTTAATTTTTGTTTATCGGTCTTTTTAGAATTCTGACGATTTACGAGACTCTAATTAGAATGGATTTACAATTTTTCTTTACACGATTTGATTCGATATTTATTTTATATTTGAGTTGATAGATCTAAAATTAAATCAAACAGTGTTAGTTAAGGATGTAAAAGTCCTTTTGGCAAAAAGTGGCAGTATAGATTATTTATTTTTATTAATTAACCGACGAAAAAAAGGAGGAGGTTCTCAATTCCACACGTATATATATATTTTTTGAGGATCGTTTTATTCAAAGATTTGAGGCTAAATAAATATCTCATAGAAAAAATTGTTAACAGTATACTAGTAAATATGATAGTGCATATTTCAATTGTCACAGAAAAAAGAGCGTCGGCCATTTTCGATCAGCAACAATTGTTAGGGGCTGTACGTATCATTTAGACGAGTCGTTTCATTGTTACATCTCCACTGGCCTCATTCGGAAATATTTTGCTGGGAACAGCCCGCCTTTCTCTTACAAACTGACGTTTGATATTAAAAAGATGTCTTACTCGAGTCAAATCATAAGTTAGATAGAAAATATTATTAAAAATACCGATGTGATTTATTACTTACGAGATATCCCCATTTTACTATATACTCGTATGTCTGCCGTATCGTTTGCGAGTTCAGTGCTTAAAATTAAACTACGTATAGTGGTTAAACTACATTTTTTTTTCAACCTAATGAAAATTCATGTACCAACCACCTTATGAACCACCATAAATCAAAAAACACATATATTTTATATGGAATATTCTTTGTTATGCACATTTAAAACGTATTCGTTAGAGAGGCACGCTCTATCGCATTACAAAGCATGTGATGACCGAGCGAGAGTGACAATGAACATAAATCAAATAGAATTTCTACCCCTCTTGATTCGATTAAGATACTACCGATCACAGCACGTTTCGCTTAAACTTATTATACTTAGAATATGCCGACGAATAAATTAATAGACATTAATATTCATTGTCTACAACTGTTTTAGTTATTCAAATGTAGTTATGTTTGTAAAATATTCTGTAGGCTTGCAACTAAAATTACGGAAATGACAGGTATAACAGCAATATATGAGAAGAATATACTTTCGATATATATTATTTTTGCAATATATTTTATATACTATATAATATATTGCAAAAATAAAAGTATGTCAATAAAAGCCTGTTTTATTACAGAATACAAAACATTCCAATTTGATACTCAAAATCCATAGAATTGTCGCACCATGTAATACCAAACACACTCACGTATTATTTTGTTTCAATAAATATAACGTAACTCAAGTACCTAAAATAAATTAATTGGGATCATAATAAAAACAATAAAAGACCACATTGTAATGTTAGGCCTCAGCTAAATCTGCAATTTGCCACCTATAAATACAAGGGATCTATCTGTAAGAGTCAATAAAAGTACAATTTCATACAAATAAAATATTATTTATAGCATTTTCTGATACTACGAGCAAAATAATTTTTGAGCAAGTACTTTGTTATTAGCTACTGTTTTCGACTTTATCTGTCTTAATGACACTAAACCCTTTTTCGTTTATGGAACAGTGTTTAGGTATAGTTATAAAATCTTATTTAATATCATTTTTATTTAATTGAATATGGCACTGGGCTTGAATATGGCTATGGAATATGGCATTGGATGACACGTTTGGCTCAGTTTGTAGTGACCCTACTTGCTATGCTAGCGGTCCCGGGTTCGAGTCACGCTAGGGACATTAATTTATGTGATCAGCACGAATGTTTGTACTCCAGTCATGGGTATTCATATTTACAATATGTAAATATATATTTAAAAGTTATATACTTATATATGGTAGTGTATCTCAATATATCAACCATCTAGTATCCATAACACAGACCTCATAGCTTACTAAGGAACTAGATGAATTGTATTAATGTCCCAACATATTTAGTTATTGTTAGTTTATCAGGGTTTCATCTTTAGCTATTATCTTGTTATAAATGCATGCTTAGCCTGTGATAACCAAGTGTTAACGCGCTTGCTTGTGAAGCGGGTTCAAATCACGCGTCTCTGATATTTTCAATTTTTAATCATTTTTAACATTATTACAATTTGTCTTACGATAAAGGAAAATTGTCGTGACAAAACCTGCATGCTTTGAGGAGCTAGCAAGTTTTCGATGACATGTGAAGTCCGCCAACAAGCACTTGGTCAGCGTGGTGAACTCCGGTCAGATCCCATACGTATTTGAGGGGGGCTGTAACTAGCGGTATAATAAAAAAAATGGCTAAATACATTTAACATTTACAAATGCAAAGATATCTCTAGTTTTATGTAATAAAATAAATAAATATAAATATAGTCAAGGAAAATCTTTTATTTTGTAAAGTATTATTTTCAATTTCCATGTTTGAATAAGAAAAACATTATAAAAGAATTATATAAATATTCTAAGATCCGACACAAGCAGGACAGTATTTTACATGTAAGCAAAATAGAATTCAATATTTACTATTCTCCCTGGAAATAAGATCCGTGATCCCTCACACGTTAGATATGATATTTGGAAAATGTAGCGAAAAATTGCACAAGTTTCTGAACAGTTTATTCAATATTGCTTTAGATTGGTTACGTATTGATTGGTATTGCCTAAAACTTAGAAGACTTGTTTTATCTAGAACAATACGTACATATGTATATTATAGTACTTATCACTTATAGCTTATCCGCGCTTCGTTCAAATATATGATGAACTTTTATATGAATACTTTTTGATATTTTTTATTACTAGCAGTACCGTATGTGTTATTCTAGGTCATATTCTATCTGTATACTCATTTTCATTGAAATCTATTTAGCTGTTTCAGCGTGGAAGAGCAACATACATATAAGCTTTTGCATTTATAATAGCAGTGTGGTTATGCTTTTGTTAGAAGCGACCTGCCCTGATGAGGTAAATTTTAGCAATATTTTACTCAAGAAATTTTGTAGCAGCCTAAGTCACTCACCTAGAAGGTATCTTTAAAAGTACTGGTAAAAGTCTATTTAAATAAAGTACTTGAATTTGAGACGTTATATGTATGTATATGATATGAGATATATAGGTCTCATAAAAAAATACTATTTATACTTTTTACTACGAATTATTTTAATAGTATAAACTAAATATAATAAGTTTCTATCGCCGAGTAAAGTATAAAATAACACTTTATAAGAAAGCTCTTGAAACGGGGAGCTTAAAAAGCTCATAATATCTATTTCATTGAAATTAGCCAAAAAGTTCTCAATTAATTTTCGTTCAAACAAACGACTAAACAAAAATAATAAAAGCTATTTATTTCGTTTCTATTGAATCATTAAAGAAAATAATTTGTGAAAATTCAATTTATTCTTCAAACAAATGCATAGCTTTCACCTTTTGTTTACAAATGTTAATCTCTGTTTATATCAAACGCTGCCAACTGAAAACTACGCCACACCAACCGTCAATTCAAAATAAAAATTATAATGCTTTGTAAATGATTTATACCAGTACTGATTAATTGATCTTGTTGGTACAGATACAAGTTAAATAAACATATTACTTGTTCCTACATACATATATTTAAATATCACATGAACTCAAATCAAATATTGTTTAATTAACATATATATATATATATATATATATATATATATATATATATATATATATTAAGAAGAAGAAATAGCACAACAGGCGGCCTTATTGCTAAGTGAGCGATCTCTTCCAGACAACCTTTCACAATAATTAAGAAACCTGAAACTTCACTGTTACTATAAATTAAGTACTTATAAGTAATTTAATTGGAAAACATTACAAACAAAATGATATTATCTTAATATATAATGTAATAGTGATCAAAACCTTCATTTACAATAAATATGGCGAATAGTATATTAAAAGTATAATTGCTATATATAAATATGCAAAGACAAAATAGTAGTACTTTTCCTCCTCTGCTTATCCAACGATTTTCTTTTTTTGTTTAGCTAGAAACAGTTAGATTTTTGTATAAGTAAATTATAGATATATGCTAGAGAAATTCTATTCATATATGTTTTTCTCAAATTTTCAATAGTGATTATTTTCGGATTTCGATCATTGGGCGAATGTTAGTATAAACAATTGTTGCTCACGGCTTCACATGCGGTATTCAATACTCTTTACTGCATCCCGCGAAAAAAAATACGTAGTTTCACTTGTCACTTTATAGTAACATAATCCCTTTGGGTCTCTACCTGCCCCAGTAAAATCCTTTTCCAAAGATTAGCGAATTTAAATGGAGTGATAGATAATCTGACGGAGAAGTATCGATAGAAATTAAACAAAATTAGAGATGTTTATCTTAACTTTATAGCCGATTATTATTTGTGCTTGTTAAAGCTTGACTAAAATTATCTTTTAATTGATCGGGCTTGTTTAGACAACAGCCATTGCCGCTAACTGATAAGCCTGTACGGTGAATACTAATAGAGC